AGGGGGAAGGGGAGGAGGGGCTGGACCACACGACAGAAAGAGCGCGAAAGCCGCGAGCCCATGGCACATGCGTGGTCCGGCCAGACACTGCTAACAACAAGTCTCCGTCTGCGGCGCCGGGGCAAGCCCAGCACCCATAGTGGAGCACCCGCGGGGACATCCCCGAAGAAGAACTAAGATATTTCCCTTTTCCCTCAGAGAGGGGAAGGGAGCCTAATCTAACTCCGTCTGCGGCTGCGGACGGTTGGAGAGAAACTGACAAGACTGGACCGCGCTCAGATGAAAGGCGTGACGGGGCAGTCACACATGCGCAGTCCGGTAGGGGGCTACTGCTAATGAAAATTCCTGGATGAGCCCAGCACCTCGAGTGGAGCACCCTTGGGGACACTACTCAATGAAGAAAGAAGCTTATCCTTTCAAAGTACTTTGTAGTAGGACATCAATGCTGAGCTCAGGTTTGTCACTTGAAAAGTCAAACTTTGTAAATCAAGTATGATGGGATGTTAGTTTGGTTGGGGAAAATTAATGTAGTAATTCCAAAGTAGTCAAGCAAAGATTCCAAAGTAACCCTATGCAAATGGATAAAGACTATGTTCCAGGCAGATTAAGCACAGTTATTCACTATTATGATTAGGAACGTACTGCTAAGCAGTGCCTTACTGTCATGATTACTGGGATAACTGGATAACTGACACTCAGACAGGTTGAAGCAGCCCTCCCACATGTCATGGTGCAGCGGGCCTGCATCACAAGTTGGGGGGCCACTCCAACCCAGCTGGATCTATGCCACTGACTACAGGAAGCCCTCCTGCCCAGCATGGCCAAAGCAGCCACCTGCCCATATCATGAAGCAGCAGGCCTTGCCCAGCCCACCCACCCATCGGGCTGGGAGCAGGGCACTGCTCAAGCCCGGCTGGGCCCATAGCACTGCATGCAGAAGGCTGCTCCAACAGCCCACCCCCCCTGCAGCATGATGCAGTGAACAGGTCAACTGGTTAAAAATATAATTTAACTGATTAATACTCTAGATTGGACTTTACATGCCTCATTATGACGAAACAATGGCATTGTAATAAAAAAATATCAGCAGGCTTGGTTGTGGAAGAAACCAAGGTCTGAATCCCTAACACCAGCTACACTATCATGGCAATCTATTTCTTCTGTTTGTGGTGCTGGACTTGTCCAGTAGACCTTCTCAGGACTGAAATAATAAAACAATGATGGTGGCTTTGCAGATTGAGACTGTAATTCTCTTGGTTTAATTAAAGGTTCTCTACTGGAAGCTGTAAAGACAAAGGTGTGTTGTGGCACATGTTGGTGCACAGAGCATGTACAAACTAGCAACTTTCTATGTGCCCTTACCTGCAACAGGTTGAACCTCTCTAATTCCTTGGGATCTGTCTGGTACAGAACTAGAGAATTTGCCGAAGCAGAGGAGATCAATATTGTCTAGCAGCATTACCAACACTTCCACTGCTTACTGAGCTTTTAGAAGACATTAAGAGGTAAATTAAAACTAAATAATAGCACAGAACCCTTAGAGCCAAGACTGGCGGCTGTAAACAAATTTATGGGATCACACACCCATGATAAGTGGACATCCAATTAACTAAAATCATGACAAACCACGGGTGTTGCCAGACCAGAAAGTGCTAGACTAGAGAGGTTCAACCTGTAGTGGCAAATCCTCATAATGATTTATAGTAAGCCTTACAATTAAGGCTTAGGTTGTACATCTTTAAAAAGTTAACCTCCCAGAAAATTTACCTGCTCAAACTCCTCCATGTCCACTTCACCATCACCATTCAAATCAAACATCTTGAAGGCAATTTCAAAATTCCTCTGGGGAGCTACATAGGAAGAAACATAATTAAAATGAAGCATATTTACCAGTCAACAATATTCACTTGAATTAAAGAAAGCAGCAGAAATTAGATTAGAAAGGAAGATCTGCTGCCTGCTGATCAAAATTGCATTATTGTATCCAATAGCAGCTTTGTTTAATTCTTGTAATATACATCTATCAGAAACGTATGTATTTTTACACTTTATTCCAGGAAGATTTTTCATTCATTCAATATTTTCTGAATATTTTCCCATATGTGAAGAGAGGCACCTAATCTTAGCCTCCACCGCTCCTGAAAAAGATGTTTTTTAAAATTTGAGTTAATTAAACCCTTTTCCTCTAAACTGAGGGGTGAGAAAGCTCACTCCAGTTCTCAAAACAGTACTCCAGCAACAATGAAGATGTCAAATCTGAGATTCCTAACAGAAAAACGAGTAGAAATAAATTTGGAGTGGATGTTCAGGCCATCTTTATACGTCAGAGGTTGAATTATTTTGTCTCAGCAGATCACCTTTAGCACTTCTGTGGAATGGCAAATGTGTCTGGTAGACATAGAATGGAACTGGAAGACTGTCAATCTAAGCTCTAATACATACTCTGCCTTTCTTTCACTATGCAACTTTAAGCAAGTCACTTAAGAGGAGGTTACTCACCTCCTGTAACTGACGATCTTTGAGATGAGCATCCCTGGAGGTGCTCCACATCAGGTGGAGAGTGTTCCAGTTCTTCTGGACGGAGTTTTGCTAGCAGTGCCTCAGCAGGGGCTGTCCATACGCGGAGTGCGATGTGCGCGAACTCCCTGACTAGCTATGCGCAGGAGCGGCCCCCGCCTCCTTTCAGTTCCTTCTCTATCCGGAACCCGGTGGAGGAGTGTGATTGACATGATTGTTTTTATATATATAAATTTTGTTAAGGTTTCTGAAGTAGAAGGAAGGAAGAGAGGGTAGTAGAGCACCTCCAGGGATGCTCATCTCGAAGAACATCAGTTACAGGAGGTGAGGAACCTCCTTTTTTTCTTTGAGAGGCTTCCCTGGGGGTGCTCCACATCAGGTGACTACAAGCAGTCTATCTTATGGAGGTAGGGACTTCGGATCCGGTAAGTAGACTGTCTGCAGGACAGCCTTCGCTAACTTAGTGTGGTGTAAAGGACCCAAGGCAAGTGAGTAGTGTTTAGCGAAAGTGTGATCCATGGACCACATTGCTGCTGCACAAATGTCCTCCAGTGGAACTTTTCTGAGGTATGCGACCAAGGTTGCCACTACCCTTGTAGAGTGTGCTCGTACTGGAGCAGGTAAAGGTAAGTTAAGTGAGTAGCAGGTATTAATGCACTCCGATATCCAATGGGATAGTCTTTGAGATATTTTCTCCCCAATATTATGGTTTGCGATGGAAACAAACAGATGAGGAGAGGACCTGAATGCCTTTGTTCTGTCAATATAGAAAGAGAGAGTTCTTTTGACGTCGAGCGCGTGCATCTGTGCTTCAAAGGCGTTGGAATCGGGCTTTGGGAAAAAACATAGGTAGGTGTATTGTTTGATTGACGTGAAAGACCTTAGGTAAAAATTTGGGGTGTGGCCATATGAACACTCGGTCTTTAAGAAAAATAGTAAATGGTGGACCGGACATGAGAGCGGCCAGTTCGCTTACTCTCCGTGCTGATGTGATAGCCACTAGCAATGCTGTTTTAAGCGTTAAGTGGAGTAAGGAGCTTTGTCCCTCGCGGTTTTGTTAATGTTGTCAGAACCAGGTGGAGGTTCCATGGTTCTTGTGGAGGTTACATCAGGGTATAAGAGCTGGCAGGCCCTTCAAAAACCATTTCGTCATGGGCTGTGCGGAACAATACATCGTGCATTTTCTGTTGCATCTGGTGAAGTGGTACATGGAATGTTGTTATAGCTGCTAGGTGCACTGACTGAGGCCAATGAGAAATTACACTGCTTCAGGGGCAGTAAGTAATCCAAGATCTATGCAAGGGTGGCCCCACTGGCTGAAGATTTCTTGCAGGATTATATGATCCATCTCCCATTTGTGCTCCTGGGGGAGGGCCCTACTTAGGGCATCTGCTGTTGTACTGAGAGCCCCAGGAATATGGCATGCGGATAACTGGATATTGCGTGCTATTACCCAGTTCCAAGGACTATGACTTCTCTGCACAGTGGCTGTGACCGTGCGCCGCCTTGTCGGTTTACATAAAACATGCATGCCGTGTTGTCCGTGAAGACACAGACATGTGGAGCTCTATGCCAGTGAACCACTGAGATGCCATGCTTTTAGATGAAGCATCAAGAGTTGAGGATGAGGCATGCTGATTTGCAGGTGATAGAGAATGTAAGGTACTTGTGGTAATGTGATTGGATGGCTCTGTGTCATCCGGAGTAACAGAGGGAACCAAGGCTGTTGTGGCCAGCACGGAGCTATGATTCCCTACCTCTAATATCATCAATTCACAGACACTTACCTTCCTTCCTCCCCCTTCCCACCCCCCCGCCTCCTCCTTCTGTTCTGCAATGTGATTTGTCCTTTTCATATTTGTTCTTTTTTTTAATTGTATCCTTTGGTATATATGGTTGTGACTACTTTCTTCCACTATTTGATCTGAGGAAGTGGGTCTGGCCCACGAAAGCTCATCATCTAATAAACCATCTTGTTAGTCTTTAAAGTGCTACATTGTCCTGCATTTTGCTGTTGTACTGAGAGCCCCAGGAATATGGCATGCGGATAACTGGATATTGCGTGCTATTACCCAGTTCCAAGGACTATGACTTCTCTGCACAGTGGCTGTGACCGTGCGCCGCCTTGTCGGTTTACATAAAACATGCATGCCGTGTTGTCCGTGAAGACACAGACATGTATCCCTTTCACCTGAGGGAGTAACTTGACACACTAGGTGGATGGCTCTGAGTTCTAAGATATTTATGTGCAGAGCACATTCCGCGGGTGACCACAGTCCTTGAACTGTTCTCCCTTCTATGTGAGCGTCCCAACCTGTGAGCGAGGCATCTGTGTTGATGACCACTGTGGGCTCCGTGGAATGGAAGGGCGTGCCTATAATTAGATTGGACACCTCTGTCCCACCGTTTTAATTATGCTTTGACTGATGGGAGGCATAGTTAGCCTCTTAATGAATGAATGTTCAGTTTGTGCTGCGTTAGGAGCTAGCTTTAGAGACAGCTCATAAATAGCCTCGCATTGGGTACCACAGGGTTGCAGGAAGCCATATGGCCTAAAAGTCGAAGGCAGTCAAGTGCGCTGACTGTAGGCATATCCTGTAGGGATAATGCCAGGTGCCTGATGTGACTAGCTCAGGAGGGAGGGAGGCAGGCTTTGGCCGTGACAGAGTTGAGGTAGGAATATGGCATGCGGATAACTGGATATTGCGTGCTATTACCCAGTTCCAAGGACTATGACTTCTCTGCACAGTGGCTGTGACCGTGCGCCGCCTTGTCGGTTTACATAAAACATGCATGCCGTGTTGTCCGTGAAGACACAGACATGTATCCCTTTCACCTGAGGGAGTAACTTTTGACACACTAGGTGGATGGCTCTGAGTTCTAAGATATTTATGTGCAGAGCACATTCCGCGGGTGACCACAGTCCTTGAACTGTTCTCCCTTCTATGTGAGCGCCCCAACCTGTGAGCGAGGCATCTGTGTTGATGACCACTGTGGGCTCCGTGGAATGGAAGGGCGTGCCTATAATTAGATTGGACACCTCTGTCCCACCGTTTTAATTATGCTTTGACTGATGGGAGGCATAGTTAGCCTCTTAATGAATGAATGTTCAGTTTGTGCTGCGTTAGGAGCTAGCTTTAGAGACAGCTCATAAATAGCCTCGCATTGGGTACCACAGGGTTGCAGGAAGCCATATGGCCTAAAAGTCGAAGGCAGTCAAGTGCGCTGACTGTAGGCATATCCTGTAGGGATAATGCCAGGTGCCTGATGTGACTAGCTCAGGAGGGAGGGAGGCAGGCTTTGGCCGTGACAGAGTTGAGGTATGCCCCAATAAATTGGATGGTCTGCGAGGGAGTAAGCATCCATTTGGGGTGGTTCACTAGGAGCCCTAAAGAGTGGAAACAGTCTAGCACCATGCGAGTATGCCGGTGGCACTCCTGTCTGGACCTTGCTTTTACTAGGCAGTTGTCCAGGTAGGGATATATAGTAATCCCTTGTCTTCTTAGGTGGGCAGTGACTGCCACTAGTATCTTGGAAAAAACTCGGAGCTGTAGAGAGTCCGAAGGGCAGGACCGTGTACAGAAAATGGTGTGAACCTAAAGTAAAACGGAGAAAACGTCTATGAGATGGTCTGATAGAAACATGAAGATAGGCATCTTGTAAATTGAGAGAGGAAAACCAATCACCCGCCTCCAGAGCTGGAATGATTGTATTTAGTGTAACCATCTTAAACCTCTGTTTCTTTATAAAGCTATTTAGGTATCTGAGGTCAAGGATAGGTCTCCACCTGCCAGACTTCTTTTCAATTAGAAAATAGTGGGAATAGAACCCTGTTCTGTGGAACTGGGACGGGACAGGTTCTATGGCTCCTATGTGTAGTATGTCATCTATCTCTCGTCATAAGATGATCTCATGAGATGGGTCCCTAAAAAGGGACGGGGTTGGAAGGTAGGAGGGGAGAAGAGAAAGAAAGGGGATGGTGTATCCCAGGGAGATAATTTGAAGTATCCATTTATCCGAGGTAATTAATACCCATTGATGAAGGAAGTGAAGTAAAACGAAACTGAAAGATTGTAAGGGTTCTGATTTTCTGGAGATGGCAATCTGGTTTTCGATCGCTCGACTATATTTTCAAATTTTCTTATTGGATTGCCCCTGGCGGTTGGGGGTGTTAGTTTGAGACCACTGCCTCTGCTGTCTGTTTCGACCCCGCTATTGGTAAAAGGGGGTGCTCTTGTCTGTGGTACTGGAAGGAGGACTATTGGTACCTTGGCCTGTGCTATGGCTGATACCTATATTGTCTGGATCTCGTTGTAGGGGCCTGAATACCCAA